GTGTTGCAGGAGCGGTAGCGTTTCCTCTCCCCCAGGCAGTACTTCCCTCCGATGGTGGGCCTGCCGAAGAGGGAATGAAGGTGTTGAACAGCTCCAGGCAATGTTCAGGGCAGGTTTTTGCCACAGGTGGCTTTTCCCAACCCTGCTGTACTACAAGGACTGATCCTTGCTGGGCACAGCCCCTAAAATCTCCCCCTGAGTGCACCGAGGGCTTTGCACAGGGGGTTTGGGGTGCGGTGCAGAGCACAGAGCTGGACAAAGGCATTCAAAACCTGCCAAACCTTCCAGGAGTCATTACTGAAATGGAAGCAGGTCCAAATTTATGCAGACAGACCAAAGAGCAGCTGTCATTGATGCTCAGGTGACATGAAGGGACAAGCACAGGGCTGGGGTGGCACTGGAAAAGTGGATTATTGTCAGGGGTTTTTAATAGGATAATGTCCCTGCTCCACTGGGAATGGCCCGAAGGTGCTTTTCCTTCTCTCTTCCCTTTCCTCCCCCCACCCATCCCAAATGGATGGAAAAGGCAGAAATTGGTGGGTGAGTCAATTCTCCAACTGGGAAATTTCCTGTCTCCTCAGGGCAGTGCCATCTGTGCCAGCTTTATGCCTCATTCTCTGCAGTTTCACTCCTTGCCAAGCCTCAGGCACTTCCAGGGCTCTGAGGAGGGAAGGCAGAGGCTGATAAAGGAGCTGAGTGTGGAGGCACAGGTGATGCCTCAGGTTTGAGCTTTTATAATTTTCACGTTCTGTACTGCTTTAGTGGGTGGGTCTGGGCTTCACATGAGGGGATGCTGAGCTCTCTGCACAGAGCAGGGAGACAAAACAATTCCTGCTCCAGCTGGGGACCAAGGACAAATGATCCAAATCTCAGGCCAAGAGCACAAACAATGTGGAATGAAGAGAGAAGAACAAGCAGGATGGGACTGCCTGGGCTGGAGCTGGAATTGGACAATGAACTCCAATGTGCAAATGGAGCAGAACTTATCAAAGTGAGAGGCCCCGTGAGCAGTTGTGCATTTTGTGACCATTTTGGTTCATTTTGGGTGCAGCCCTGGCTGGGCTCTTGTGCTGCCCAAGGTGGATCTATTGAGGTCTTTCAATAAATCCCTGCTTTATACTTTAACTGCACCTGTTGGAGCCTGGTCACTGAGAATTTCAGCCTTTCTGTGCTGACAGGCACTGACCCCCAGGAGAACACTGCATTGACCTGAGGCCGTGGAGAAGCTTCCAGAATGGAATGACAGAACTGGGATTGTGGGTGTGGAGTTTGAATTGAAGTGTGGAATATCACAGGGTGGAAAACTTCAAGTTGAAGGGTTTAGAATATAGTAACATCTATAAAACAAGATTGAGGTTTTAGGGCAGAGGCTGGTCCTTCTTCTTCTCCTTCTTCTTCACATTCTTCTCCTTCTTCTCCATGGGTTTGGGTGGTTTTGTGTAATTGGATAAAAAGTCTGCATTGCAGACCATGGGTGGTTGGTTATTGGGTTAAAAGTAAAAATAATTTAGGTATAATTTCTTAACTGGACAATTTATCCTTAAAAGGCCTTGTAGAGAGAGAGATGAGGCTTCAATTTTTAGCTTGTTAAAGTGAAGTGCTGCAGAACTCAGGGTTTGTGAGACTGAAGGACTGATAGATAAGAACTAATAAACACCTGAGTCTGAACAAGAAAGAGCAATTAATCCTGACCCTGGCAAAAAGAAATTAAGACTCCACATCCATCCAGCCTCTGTTCTAGGTCAGCCTCCACAAGGCATCACAGGCACCTGGACTTGCCTTCCCCACGGGCAGAGGGCTGGGGACACTGCAGGGCCACGGTGACAGAGCCACGGTGACAGAGACATGACAGAGACATGACAGAACCATGGTGACAAGGCCACGGTGACAGAGCCACGGTGACAGAACCATGGTGACGGAGCCACTGTGACAGAGACATGACAGAGACACGGTGACAGGGCCACGGTGACAGGGCCACGGTGACAGAGCCACGGTGACAGGGCCATGGTGACAGAGACATGACAGAGACACGGTGACAGAGCCATGGTGACAGAGACATGACAGAGACATGGTGACAGAGCCACGGTGACAGAACCATGGTGACGGAGCCACTGTGACAGAGACATGACACGGTGACAGAGCCATGGTGACAGAGACATGACAGAGACACGGTGACAGAGCCACGGTGACAGGGCCATGGTGACAGAGATATGACAGAGACATGGTGACAGGGCCATGGTGACAGGGCCATGGTGACAGAACCATGGTGACAGGGCCATGGTGACAGGAACACGGTGCCAGGGCCACGGTGACAGAACCATGGTGGCAGGGCCATGGTGACAGAGCCATGGTGACAGGGCCATGGTGACAGGGCCATGGTGACAGAACCATGGTGACACAGCCATGGTGCCAGGGCCATGGTGACAGGAGCACGGTGCCAGGGCCACGGTGACAGAACCATGGTGACAGGAGCACGGTGCCAGGGCCACCCGCGCGTACCTGGGGCTGTCGCAGTGGCGCACGGACGAGGACACGCCGCCACCGCACGTCCGGCTGCACTCGCCCCACGATGACCACGACCCCCAGGCTCCGTCCACGCCCTCTGGCCGCGTCCCGAAGGGCACACACTCCCTCTTGTAGCACCACTGCGGGGACACAGAGCTCGGTGTTACGTGTAGTGAACATAATCCGGGCCATTCCTTGTATGAAATACGTAATATTAGATACTTCTTAAGATTTTCTAAAGCCTTCTGAGTTTACATTCTGTTAGAAAACTTTCTCACACAATTTTCTATAAACAACATGTTGTTTTACATTCCTTCATAGGGGTAGAGAAACTTAATACACTAGTAGTTTGTCCAATGTCTTTGGAGAGGTGGCCCATTCACTCTCCAATCCACTGTCACCTTTGGAAAAGTATAAAAGTTAGACTCAGAGAAAAAACTTTCTTCTTTACCTTGCAAATAGCAGTGGCTCGAGTTGTGCTTTCACATGTCCTATAGCGACACCCCCCCACACACACACCCTCGCAAAAAACCTGGTGTATATTAGAACCCAATTTATAAGTAAAAGGATGTGGCTCGGCCAGGGATGGGCCATGTCTGGAGAGATCCGGGGCACTGATCATGGCATAAATGACCCGAGATGAATTTCATGGAAATCCTCGGGCAGATCCATGTGAATGCAGGTTCCCGTAAATTCCATCAAGGGATTCAACAACTCCGGACATTGAATTGTTCTTCTTCATCACCAAAAAAGAAAATCTTATTAACCTATGGACTCTGAATGGAAGAAAAGACTGATTGCTGAAATCTTGGCCTCAGGCGGAATTTTCCCTTTAAAAACCGCTCGTGCTAGGATGGAGGTGTGTGGGCATAGAGGGAAACCTCTGCTGAGGCTGACTTCTGGTGCTGATCCTGGGCTCGGCTCTGTTCTTTCCTTGTGGCTGGCTAGATAGAATTTGATTGCAAAATAAATATTTTAAGGTTTTCATTTTAATTTGGCTGGGCAAATTTTCATTTATAACATTGGGATGGCCTGGGCAGGGGGCTCCTTCTGCCAGAGCCTCCACAGAGTCAGCGCAGGGCTGGGATCTGCTTTGGTCCTGAGGAATCTGAGCTTGGAGCTGCACCAGAGCCAAATTCTCCGAGGCAAAGGGCGCTTGCCTCTCCCTGGGGTCAGTGGGAGCAGTGTCCTCAGTCCTTGTGGCACCATCCTGGAGGACAGGGAGGCACTGGCAAGGGGTCACATCCCACACGTTTCCTAGAGCAGCTGTGGCTGCCCCTGGATCCCTGGCAGTGCCCAAGGCCAGGCTGCATGGGGTTTGGAGCAACCTGGGCTATGGAAGGTGTCCCTGCCCATGGATGAGGTTTAAGGTCCCTCCCAACCCAAACCAGTCTGGGATTCTCCTCTAAAGAGGTCCTGGGTCCCACACCTCACATCTTATAAAAGCCATTGGCAGAGTTCCAGGTGATCTGGGATTGGAGTTGCTGCTGCCAGGCAGGGCCAGGATCTCTGGGGGACATGGACAGAGACACTGCCAGGACAGAGTGAGTTTTGTTTGTACTAGGAGCTCAGATTGTGGTTCATGTGTCCAAAATGTCCAGATCAGCAAAGAGCTTGAGTTCAAATAAAGTTTAAATTATAATAGAAACGTTGTTGTGTCATCGTTTTGCTGAGGATCCTTAAAGAATCTGCCTGTCCCCGTCCTACTGGGAGACAGATGCTCATGGAAATTTGCCCATGAAATATTTCCCTCAGGCCTGGCACGTGTCCCACACCCCCTGGAGTCCGCAGCGATGGGAGGGTGGGACGGTGCCAGAGCCGCTGTCCGGGCGCGGTGCCGGACACGGAGCCCTGGGGGCTGAGATAATCCCAGGAAGGAAGAAAGCTCTGTGTGCTCCTTCCAGAGGCTGGGAACCCACCCTGGAGCTGCTGGCACAGCCTCTCCCTGCTCCTCCAGAGCCAACTCTGCTTGGGCAGCTGGGAAAAACGCATGGTGGCTTCCCAGGAATCCCAGCTCACGAGGCCTGGGAGCACCAGCGCCTCTCCAAAGGGGGATCCCATGTGGAGGAGATATTCCACAGTATTCCCACAGCCTGGGAATAGCTCTAATAAATCCTGGGGGCACCTTCCCTTCCCTTCCCTTCCCTTCCCTTCCCTTCCCTTCCCTTCCCTTCCCTTCCCTTCCCTTCCCTTCCCTTCCCTTCCC